GTTTATAGTTCGTTCTTGAACTTGGCTTCAGTGCTAAGAATACTGTATAATCAGAGCGTAAATAATGGTGAACACTTGGTAATCTATTCGCTTCGTTTATTTTTCTCTTGGCACGACTAACACAAGAAGTCAAAGTGTCGTTTAATATAATAAAATCTATAGTTTACGTTTGTAAACTATTGTTATATATTGCGTTCCTGAAATAGAGAAACGTTTTCCACTTCTTTCTTGAGTCGATAATTTAAGCTTGCAAAGCTTTTAAAAGAGTTGTGATTTTAAACTAGTACCAATTTAATTTTGCGAATTGTATTTATTTATGAGAAGACAATAATGAATTTTTCAAGATTTGTCAGGGTATTAAAACAAAAACAAAAAGCAAGTTCCGAAAATTTGGGATTTTAATATTACGTTTTTTTTAGCCATATTTTAAATAAATTAGCACTCTTAAGAAAGTTAAAAAAATATCTTTACTTTTTCAGTACGCTAACGTATAATTTGTTGTGAACGGCGACGTGTCTTGTTTCCCTTACTCGAGAATTTCACGTCATTACACACGAGTAGGGGTAATGAAATGTGTAAGAACACATTTACATAATAAATTGGTAAATTATACAAGAGCGAACATTTGCGCCAGTGAAAATATAAAAATAAGAAATTATTATGCACAGGTTAACTTATCCCGCATAAAAAAAGATATTTCCAGGTTAAGAATAACTGGACTTCACAAATCCGGCAGTTGTTAAATCAAAAAATGAAAACTTTGACAAATTGATCAGTAAAAAAATCTTTTAAGAAATCTGTTACGTTATACAGCATTGTAATGAACAGACACATTTTTGTAATAGTTCTGTAATGTTCTGGTATTTCTTTTGTGATCAGTTCAGTTATGCAGGCATTCACCATTCAACATCAAAACAAAAAAAAAACAATTAAGAAACTACTCCTTAAGAAAATAACGCAACACGTGTTCCATTCAGTTCTTTCCTACTAATTAATTAAGAGATCTTATCGGCGCAGTTATCAAGCTTTAAATGGATTATCATCTATTGTAATAACAGAGTACCAGCATATCTTAGCGAAATCGTTGCCAAGCCATGTTTTCATTATTTTATTGCCTGCTGCTATTTTACTGTCATCTCGCCTAAAATTAGCAAACGTAGCTAATATTGAATTGACTGCAACAGAACTAAAATAGGCTGCGAGTATTTGCAGAAATTGTATGAGAAAACTAACACGTATGAAATAGAGAAAATATCACTTGTCCTTACTACTAAAAAATAATAAATTCTCAAGTTTATTGATCAATTTCTGCGTTAAAATTGAACTGGACTAACCATAAAAATATTATCGTACACAATCTCTGACAAATACCGTGTTATATCTGGCCACTGAGAGGATTCTCAGGTTAAATTGATGGTGTTAGTGGTGGCAACTTAATGCAAACGATAAGTTTAAAACAGCAGAGAAAGTTCACATTAAAAAAAAACTGCAAAGCTCTGAAAGCTACAGCAATAAGGTAATACATAGACAGAATTACTGCTAAAAAGAAATTTACATTGATTTGTGGAAAGTAGCAAGTTCTGACGTATAAGAAGGAGTAAGATACAAAATCGACATGCTCTGGCGAGATGTAAGTTTAGCCACCCAAGATAGGGTGGATTGATTCAGCAATAGGTTCTGTGAAATGAGATGTCAAGTAAATGGAAATATCTTCCTACACGAACATGAACACTAATTGAAAACTTGCTTAACAATTCATCCATCAAAAAGTTCATCTACAAGTTATTGGTATTAATCTAACATATTCTAGAAACATTATGGTAAGTATTTGTATTAAAGAGAACATTATATTTGCATAGATAATAGCATTATATAATATTTGGTAAATACGAATCACAATTCAGAGCATGGCCTTATATTTAAGCTTAACATTTTATTTGTTCTGGAAATGATGTAGTCGATATGTGTAGTGAATGTTAAATGGGAATCTAATAAGACACCTAGATCACGAAACTCGGATCTAAAAATATATTATTCAAATGATATAGTCAACGTACTTAGTTTACGATTAAACCGTAGCACTTTCAGTTTCGTGATTATATAGGTACTCAGGTTTATTAATTAAACACCACGGTAATTTAGTTTAGATTTATAGTGCGATATAATAAGCGACATTCATGTGATACTGAGATAAATATCGTCTGCAAAGAGAAGAATTTCGCGATATATATATTTATCGCATCATTAATAAATAGTGCAAAGAAAACTGGAACGAGTTGAGAGCTCCGAAGAACTCCAGAATTAACATTTATGCATTTAAATTCTTAAGTGATTAATAACAACATGCGCAATTTACCAAACTGTTTTATTTAAAGGTTACACGACATTCTTCCTGTCGGACCACTGTTTTTAATCTTTCGTGGCACAAAACCAATTACGGTTTTAATAAGGTTGTCGATGTAATCCAGATCACTTGATATAGTTAATGACTTCGATTTTTATCATTCTTATCTGAATAGTCTTTAATCGGTTTCTTAAAATTTAGTGGTAAAATGATGGATGTCTATTTTTTGACAACAAATTCATTCTTTCATTCATTAAAAAAACACACAAGTGGTGGTAGATTATTTTCGACCGAAATATGCATTTACAGAAGTAACATCATAGATCTTTGAGGAATAACTATAAACTTAGAGACACACCTACACTTAAATATAATTATGAAAATTTAAATTTCTTCCGTTGTCCTCTGAAGGTTTTTTGACGAAGGCATACTTCGGTCGATTGCGTCCTATTGTCCATTTTTCTTCCGTTCTGCACTATCCTCGAGACATCCATGTAACTAAATCTTCCTATTTCGTGAATTTTTCTTACTTCTTTTGTCATAGTTTTTGCTTTTGCAGTTTCTCTCTTCTTGTTTTCCCTTTCCAAAAACGCACAGTTTATAGATTTAACAATATAGGACTCAGAATACATCCTTGTTTGAAACCTATTCTATTTACAAATTTTTTGACTTTTTATTTCTTAAAGGTATCTACGTAGTTTGTGGTACCATTACATAGACCTTTAGTACAAGTGACTAGTTTTCTCCATTGTTTTTTCTTTCTTTTTTGTTTCTTAGAGCTAGCTGTAAGTCTCCTTGCTTTGTATGGTCAAAGATCTTCTTCATGTCAATGAAGCTTACATGAATTTTTGTCTCTGTTTTGTGTTTTTTCCACTAATGTTTTTTTGCCTTTCGCTATACCGGGTGTCCCAGCGTACCTGTTCGACTCAAATACCTCAATGATTTTAAAGCATAAAAATTTGAATTTAGGCATGTTCAGTATACGTGATACAATCTATTAAATTAGTAGACTATTGGCATTGTATTAGCTTCAGTTTCACTGCAAATGACATCAATTTTTTTTCTAAATCTAAAAGAGTACAACGCGTAGTACTATAAAAGAGGGCATAATACCAAAAAGTTAGATATGGTACTTATTTACCAAGAGTGTAGGCGAAATAGAAGATAATCCAGAACATTATACGAGAAAAGATTTCCGAAGAGACCAACCAAGTTGTATGTATTGTATTTCGCAAAATTAGCAACAAAATTAGAACAATCTGGGTCTTCCAAAAAGAAACGCAAAGTTTTTTTTACGAAAAACGGGAACAGATGAAGAACATACCGTAGGTGTCTTGGGGAGGGTTAATGTAAATCCTCATATTTCCATCAGGCTAATACGAATATTTCAAAATCCTCTATACAAAGAATTTTAAAACCGGCCAAATATGATGATTACATCAAGCTTTACTAGCATCTGATTTTGAAAGAAGATTGGTTTTCATTGCTTGGCTAACAGAGGCATGTGAAGAGGGTATCATAAGTAATATTTTATGGTTAGATGAAACTCGTTTTAATAATAATGGAATTGTGAATCGACATAATTGCCATTACTAGGATTCAGAAAATCCTCACTGGCTAAAAGAAACTAAGTTTCAACATATTTGGGGTATCAACGTCAGCAATTTCTTGCAAACGAACTTCCTGTGTTATTAGAAGCTGTTCCACGCGTCGAGAGAAAAAGAATGTATTTGCAGCAAGAAAAAAAAAACAGATTATTTGAATAGATAGTTTGCCAAAAATGTAGCAATTCGGTGGCCTCCCAGATCTCCAGATCTAACATCTCTCCATTTTTTTTGGTGAGGCTATTGAAAGGACGTCTGACGGGCCAATTTCAATTTGGATTTACGATTTCGCAAGTCCTCGTTGTCATGGAAGATGCGATGGCAGCAGTCGCGAACACCAATCAAATCGCGAATCGCAACAACTGTCATCGAAATTACCATAGCAACGGCACTTGCGATTTCGCAAATCCAACTTGAAATTACCCCCTTAGAAACTTAGAAGACCTTCAGCAAAGAATTAGGGTAGCATGTGATATGATTAACCCAGAAATGTTACAAGTGGTAACAATTAGGGGTCTACTTCATCGAGCAGCATGTTGTTTAGAGGCAGAATGTCGTCAATTTGAAAATTTCATTTAAACTTATTGTTTTTGTATCGTTTCATCTTGGGTTAAACTTTGATTTTATTAAAATACTTAGTTGCACATGATCCGTGGAAGCAGAAATCGCGAATGTGCGCTCCAGACAAGTCTAGAAGCGGTGACGTAGGCGTTTCGAGAAGGACCGCGTGCTGTTTCAATGGGAACCATCGTCGGGAACAGTGTCCAGCTGAATTCAGCTAACAAGTCGAATCCAACGAGTGTCGAGAAAACTCAGTGAAGTTGCGCCGGGATTATTTTGTACATAATCGCTCTGTAATTAGTCGTGTAAATCCGAGTTACTAAGAAATAAATTGTTGAGTTTAACCCACGCCGACTTTATTCACCGATAAACGTAACACTGGTGTCAGAAGTGGGATTGGAGATTAATAACTGGTTTTACGACGACGTCCGGTCAGATTGGACAAGAATTACGAGGAATTTATGCCTGTCGAGACTAGAGTTTAAGCGAAAATGGAGGAACAAGTAAAGCAGATGAAGGCTATGCTCCCAGAAATGAAAAAAGAAATGGGCGCAAGAATGGAAAAAATGGACGCAAGAATGGAAAGAATGGGCTTAAGCGTGGAAGAAATGAACCAAAAAATGAATGCAACAATAGAAGAGATGAACGAAAAAATGGACGCAAGAGTGGAAAAGATGAACGAAAACATAGCCAAGCAAAAACATGAGATATTTACCAGCCTAAGTGAAAAGTTCCAAAAGGAGGTGGAAGCAAACAAGAATGAAATAGAAGAAAGCAGAGAAGAAATGAAGGACGTAAAAACAAATCTGGAAAATATAGAAAATATTGTCGTGGCGATGCTGTATTTTTTTCTAGCTCTAACTGGTGACAAATATAATAGGGAGACCAAATGTTAGAAGCAAATTCAAGTTTTGACAAAACAAAAAAAAATACAAGGATTTTAACACTAGTGGACTATGAAATAGTTTAGCAGTTCGCATAATGAAGCCTAAAGTCTTAGAAGCAGCAGAGGTAATACTCTCAATATGATTTACGAAAGTCATATTACTGTCAAATAGTACTCCAAGGTCTTTAATGATGGTTTCTATGGATAATGGTACCTCATTGATCTTATAAGAAGAAGGAACACTATGTTTTTTACGAGTGTACGAAACTATACGACATTTGTTAATATTTAATTTTAGCTTATTACGAAAAGTCTAAAGTACAATCTTATTCAAGTTGTGCTGCAGATAATTAACATCATTCACACACGAAATTCTAGAGTAAATTTTCAAATCATCAGCATAGGCAAGTGCATGACCAGACAACAGTGGCGGCTCCTAAGAGGAGGCAGGGGAGGCTGAGCCTCCTCTATTTTTTGGAGCTGAGCTTCCTCTAATTTTTTTCGATGAAAGAATTTATATTTTTGTAGACATTTGTTATTTTTCAGAATATTTTCTTGGATTTCATTTACTTTCATCATATATCAGGTTAAAATGTCGGAAAAATTTAAATTTGGACAATCATAATTCACATTCACACCACTCCGCGTTTGGTTTCAGCGGCAGAGGCTTACTAGCCGCTAGCCTCCGAACGACGATGCATCTGAATAATGAGACCGTAACCTTGACGCACCGTCAGTGGGTATTGCATTGGCTAAAACGTTGATCGGACTGCCGCTCCAAGCCGCTAGCCTCCGGCTAGTCCATCTCTTTTCAGATCAAGTCCTACAGATAACTTTATCTCTTTCTTATTAGTTGGAGCAATCGGGTGTAAGTAGGAAAAACATTGAGGTGGTTTCGCGAGCTCCCTGTTCAGTGGTGGTGGTGTTTAGGCTTTACGTAGGTAAGGGTATAAAAGGGAAGACCAACACCATCACTCCCATTAATGGTATTGACAGTTACAATTAGAAACAAAACAGAGCATTTCATGAAAATAATTATAATAAAACTAAATAGTTAACGGCTTCGGTTTTAAGAAACAAATTATACTACTGGAATTGTGTATTATTTATAAGTGATAAACTGATAAATCTTCCGCTTGGGGTAAAACAGGCTATAATAATTTACAAAATTTGTCACGAGCTATAGAAAGGCATGAAAAATCACAGGAACACATATTTTCTTCGATTAAATTAGAAATGCTTGGTAAGCAAAACATTGCCAATAATTTAGATTCGGCTCATAAAAGGGAGAACTATTACGAGAAAGTTGGTGAAAATTGGGCAATTTTGAAAAGACTGATCGATGCAATATAATTTATCTGTCAACGCAAGAGTGTTCTTTTCGTGGGCATGACGAAAAAAATTATTCAGATAATAAAAGATATAAAAAGTAGTGCTTTTCAAATTTGAGCCTCCTCTGAAGAAAACTTCACGAGCCGCCACTGCCAGACAATGATCTAGGGAGATCATCAATGAACAAATGAACAACAGCGGTCTAAGATTAGATCCCTGAGGCACGCCTGATGTTGAGAGATATTCTTGTAACTTATAACCATTGTAGGAGACATAATTAATTCGATTTGATATATATGACATTAAAACGGCCAGGAATGATTGAACAAAACCGAAAGAACTAGGTTTATCTAAAAGAATTTGATGATCCACAGTATCGAAGGCGCTTGAGAAGTCGGTGTAAACCACATCAACTTGTCCGTTATTATCCAATTCTTCACAAATAAACTGGGTAATTGTAACAAGATTGGTAACTGTTGATCGTCCAGATATAAACCCATGTTGATAAGGAGAAATGTAGGATTGAATATTAACAAAAATTGATTTATATATAACTTGCTCAAAAATCTTAGCAAAGTTGGACAATATTGCGATTGGACGGTAATTTTTCAATTGCGACTGTTCATTCTTCTTGTGGATCGGAATTATCCTAGCTCGTTTCCACTTAACTGGAAAAGTAGAAGTGGATATTCCTTTATTTATGATCAGAACTAAAGGTTTAACTAATTTGAAAACTTCCTTAGGATTGCGCTGAACAAACATTTCAGCGTTATGCAAATATAAATTATAAGCTTCAGCTATTTCAGATTTGCAAATTGCACGGAGTCGCTTAAAGTTATCAAGAAACACAGTACTATTAGTTGAGAACCATTTTTTTCTGTAATAGTTTTTATGTTTTATGTGTGAGATTATATTAGGCATAAACCAGGGAGGATAACAAGATTTATACGGCTTTGATATAAAATGCATCAAGTGTTTGATTAACATCATCAAACTTATTTAAAAAAGTCCAATCAGTATTGATGATATCATCATATAATAAAATAAGATTAGTTCTACGAAAGCTGAAAGTTTTATTAAAAGTACATGGAAAGGTAGAACGCCCAGGATGAGATCACATTTTGATCGATATGGATAAGGCTGGATGATATGGATCTTCTGGAACAAATGGCTGTTGATTATGACTGACTTCCACTTTATGTTCAAAATTTGAAAAAACTAAATCAAATTGCTTATTATTACTATTTACAATGTCACTGTGTTGTGTTAATTGGAGGGAGTCACAAAGACTGCGGAGTGAGCAAACTTTGGAACCATTATTACAAAAATTCGGCAGATTAAAATCGGCAATTAGTAAAACGGTTTTATCACGAAGAAAAGCCTCAAGATCTTCAAAAAATAGTTCGTAATCATCAGCAGGAACATTAGGAGGTATATATAACGCTACAAGAAAAAAGTTATAGTATCTAGATGACATTTGCAAATGATAAAATCAATCAGAGGTACAAGATTTGAGATGTTCGTAGTATTTATCGTTTCAACAAGAATATTTTTAAAGACACCAAGGAGAAACCTCCACCATCAACTTTGCTTACGATATTGAATTTTCTGTCACACCTGAAAACATTATAGTTAGAAGGAAATATCTCAGCGCTATTTATAGAGTTGCGTACTTGTGCGCTTGGGTACTTGTAGTTCATTTACTCTAATTACCCTGGGTTTCCTTTCTTTTAATTGTTCCATTTTATTGCAATTTACTTTAACTATTTACTTCTTATTCTTGCAGTTCTTCAAAATCCTCTTGCCATTTTATCATTGCTTCTTTTATCTTTCACAGATTTTTTTTTACATATCGATGTCTTTGTTTACTATTTTTGACTTTACCTTTATTATTCTTTTTTTGTATGTTTCATAATTATTTTAGTTTCTTGTTGTTAAACATCTTATCCATGTATTTTTCTTTTGTCTCACCGGTACTGTTATTTCTTTTGCTTTGTTTTTAGGTAGGCAGTAACTTTTTTTGAATTTCGGTTTCGGCACTCTGATATTGTAATTCGGCTCCATCTTGAATATAACGGTGCAATTAATTTTTAACTTATTTATTTAAGAACCAGTCTCAAAAAAATTCGTAACGCACAATTTTTTAACAATGAAAAATTATTCTATCGAAATTTTACTAATACAGAAAAAACTCAATTAACTGGTAGACTTCCAAGTTCACAGGATTTAACATCTTTCTGGTCAAAACTTTGGTCTCAAGAATTTAAATTTAATAAAATAATCTGCCCAATGGATTCGTCACATATCCAATAAACTATCCACGTTACACTAATGAACGGTAATCAAAGAACACTTGACGAGCTGACGAGTCATCAATAGAACACAAAAACTGAAATCACCAGAACCCGACAAAATACATAATTTTTGGATCAAAAAATTCAACTGTGTACACACTCATTTGCTAAAACACTTAAACAAGTTCGTTCTTAACCTATCCACATTTCCAACATTTTTATGTCATGGTGTAACATATCTAAAATCTAAAGCTGATGACACAACAAATCTATCAAAATACAGACCCAAGTATCACATGTTTACTTACAATTTAAAAAACACTAACTTCATGGATAACACAAAAAATCTATCGTCACTGTTTTAAATCCGATATCATCAACAAAGAACAAAAATAATGTATTAAAGGATCTTTGGTTGCAAAGAGCAGTTAATCATAGATTCCATCATTTATGGACAAGCTATAAAACAAAACAGCGACATATATACTGCTTTTATTGATTATAAGAAAGTTTATGATTCAGTCCCGCATTCGTGGCTATGCACAATTTTGGAATTATACAAAGTTGATCTCAAAATATGTGCTCTTCTCAAATATTCAATGGAATTTTAGAAAACCACCCTCCAAATAACCTTAAATGATTTTAATACTTCAATTAGATCCAATAATGATCAGAAGAGGAACCATTCCAGGCGATTCTATCAGTCCGCTATGGTTCTGTTTGGCAATAAATCTTCTTTCCGGCATTTTGAACAGCTGCAATTACTGTTACACAAGAATTAACACCCAAACGGAAAGTAGGTTAAGTCATTTGTTATATGTGAATGATATAAAAATACTTATATGCAAGTACAAAAAATCAATTGATAAATCTAATAATAGAACAGGTTTCCGGTGACATTGGAATGAGCTTCGGTGACGAGAAATGTAAGACTCAAGTAATCAGAAGAGGCCTTCAACAACAAATACCATACAAATTTCTGGGCTTTCATAAGTGTTCCCATATTGATCATACCAAAACTAACAATGTCTGGCAAGATTAAAATTAATTTTGAAAACACAGTTAAACGAAAAGAATATAATGAAAGCAGTGTTCATTCTGTGTTCCACTGCTAACATATTCTTTTGGAATGATTAAATAATCAAAAACTGATTTGAAAAATTTAAAAATCTCAACAAGAAAATCATTCACACAATATAGAAGACATCATCCAAAGTCATCAATTGCGTGTTGTTCATTACCAAGACAGAGCGGAGGAAGGGGATTCCAGAACTTAGAAAATGTACACAAGTGGGCTGCAACAAAAACAACTGCATGGAAAATTTTTCAAAGAGCTAGACGAAACTCATATCAACAAGAAAATGTCATTGATTTGGTTCGAAAAATCAGGCTTATATGCCAAAAAAGAAGGGTTTTGTTTGACATTCAGGACCAAGTAATTAATACCAAGAGTTACAGAAAATATATAATCAAAGATTCAAATGTAAGAAACGATTGTTGTCGACTTTGTAAAAAAATATTGGTATTATAAATAATCAAATACAGATTTTTGACTTGCTTTTAATGTTACTAAAATTTCAATTTGTTTGCCTCATCTACTTCTCAGTTCATGAGCCTCCCCTGTCCGTTTTCTAATGACAAGTGCACTCCAAACCAAAAACAAGCTCTACAACAATTCTAAAAAATATATAGTGTCATTAAAAAAAGTTTCATCTTGTAGGCAAAAACAAAAAAAAATAGGTTATCAAAATACATTTGAAATGGACAGTTCCCTATTTTTAACACCGGACTGACTCGACTATTTTGTTGGAATGTAGCTCTCAAATTAATTATGGATAAATGGACCACGCAAAAGATACTGCAGTGTGACGGAACATTTGCCTAAATGAAATATGAAATTAAAAAAATATGAATTTAAAAATAGTTTTTTTATAATTTCATTCTAGGCCACAATGTAATTTTGTAGAGATCTCAATAGTTTCTGTTCTCTATAGAAAATTTAGTTTGAAATTGAAATTAACACATTTAAAATTATTATAATACATAATTATAATAAAATCCAGCAGACGACACTAATAAAGCATAAATTTATTTGCCGTCTGAAAAAAGGTACACAATATTTGGGTCAAGGCCCTTATCGCAATTACTGCATAAATACCTACTGTGTGATACATAGATATTAATTTTCCAGACTATATACCGACCAAATGGGTTTCGCGCAGCTGCATGTTCTCGGAACCCTTTAAATCACACCGCCAATTAACCCAAAATCATCAGGAGTGGCCAAAATGAACCGACTGCAACAGGACTAAACCACCGCCTGAAAAATTGCCTCTCAATGCACAGAACCACCGTTATCAGACACTTCAAAATTAGACTCGTTCGTCCTCCGCCGAACAAATCGCCCGAAAATAGACATCTTCATTGTTATCCAACTTCGACGACCTACCCATCTGTCCCATGTCACGACTTTTCCCATTGTCATTCCGATTGCACGTCCGCGATAACTCCGAAATTAAAAATACTCCGCAACCGATGGACACAATCTCAGCCATCAGCAGAAAACACGACATTACGTGCTCATCTGTCTCCTGCATACAAATTTGTCCCGTTTATTCGGACTCCCAGCGATGTTCAATTGCGAAGACTTGCAGTCTGGTCGGCATTAATAAGAATGAAAAAGCCGCTATTCAACGAAGCGTGCCGGAGTCTTTGCTTACTATGCCAGCGGCTTGGCTTTGGCTTTAGCAGCATTTTGCGTCCAACTGGGTCGGTGGAGTGTTGTGCGTTCTGCTGTGCCATGGTAGGATAGTGGTCGGTGCGTTATCGTGGTCGGACGGGTTCGGACGCTCGCAGGATCTGCAGGATTTATAAGGTAATTAAAAGTAGCGATAGCAAGTGTGATTTTTCCTTTTTTTAAAATTGTGCTTTCATCGATTTAAAAAAAAATTGGACCAGTGAATTTAAAAAAAACGCTCGAAATTTTAATTAATTTTAATATGAACTACATTTTTGTTACAAATTTGAAAGTTTTTGCTTCATGTTGTCACAGTTATGAGGTCGTTGATATTTTTTAAAATGGCAACCCTATTATTTATGTGTATTGTAAAAGAGAGTAAAAACTGGATTTAATTTTGAGACGTGTTTCTACGTTTTTTCTATAAATTCGTCTTAATTTGTTGTTCAGGATAGTTATTTTATCTTAATTTTGTCACGATAAAAGCTTTTATTTTACAATGTATTGTTTATGCCAAATACTTGATAAACACGAATAAATAAATACATATTCTAAATTAAACTGTGAATGATTTTAAACATAAAATTCTTCCTTTTAGCAACCAATGACATTTTACAGGGAAGATATACAGTGTGTTAATTTACAAAATAGTGAAGAATTATAAATTAAAAAAATAAATAAAAAATTGGCAGAAATATTCTAAACTATTTTTTACGAATTTTATAAAAATTAATAATAACAATAATAATAATAGTAAAATGTTCCCAAAAATCACGTCATCAATATTTTAGTGGGGATATACTACTTCTAAGAGGCTCAGAATGTATTTGTTCAATGAAGATTATTTTAATAATTTTTGGAGATGACATTAACTTTCGTGAAAATCTTCAGTAGTATATTTCAAGATGCAAGTGCTGAATTTTTTTCCGCAACGAATTAACAGTGGTCAAGATGTTCACTATTTGGTTCAACGTACTCTGAATCTGAATTGAAATTGCAGTGGAATAGAACAGTGATTTGCATTAAGTAGCCTCTAATTTTAGTTCTAAGGATTAGCGTTATTATAGTGTGAACAGATCAGGCGAATTATTTTTTAAATCGAATCGATGGTATTTTTTATTGAAGGAGTTAAAACAAGACATACAATTTTATAAAAATTAATATATCAGATCATCTTTCCTACACTATACTATATACACCTCTAGGGTAAAAGCTCGGTTTAACGGTAGTTTATAGATTACGTTATAGAGGGTGTTTAATAAACATGCGGCAAAAATTCGTGAGGTTATCCCTTGGGTTATTGGAGGTTTTTTATCCTTGGAAGATTTTGGAAAAAACTGCAAAGCGCTACAAAAACTGCTGAAAATGACTACCACTTTTAAAAAATACCGGGGTTTTTCTATTGCATTACACCTCCCAATTAACTGATTTTCCAAATCTTAATTTTCCACCCAAGTAATGTACACTAATTTATTCAAATGGCACCATACATAAAAATACAGCCATTTAAGTCTGGGGATCGGGTAGTTTTACTTTTCTTTTATCACACCGTATCTTCGAAACAAAATATTACAATAATCCAAGAAATAACCACTTGTTTAGTAAACACCCTGTATAAAGTGAAATTTGGCCTGCAAAATTACTGAAATACTGGTTTATCTTTAATAGAAATAAATTGTGTGGAATCTGGAGAAAACATTCTGAAGCGTAAGAATAAATAATACAATCCAAGTTAGATAATAGTTAACTATTAATGTACAGGGCGAGTCCTAAACGTGCGTTCCTCGATACCTTGTTAATTACTTATTAAAAATAGAAGAAGAACAAACAACCAAAATTGTTCGGTTCTTTCAGGATTATACTCTAAAATTATTTTTAGCTATACAGAATGCTCTGTTTCTAGGTTTTACAACCACAATTTATTTTTGAAATTCCGTTACGTCGTTGCCACGTTGTTCCAATTTTCTTGAATTCTTAGGCAATGGAAGAGTTCACAAAAAATCACAGTGAGGTTATTTTTAAAATCCATGTTGCACTATTTTGTGGGGAGATAATTAAAGAGCGCACTTTGTTGTGGTGTAAATAAAATAAAATTTTCATGTACGGAGGGTTTAGAAAAAAAATTAATTCTTACAATTTTCAAATGTCGATACATACTTCAGTTTTTTTTTTTAATAGAACACCCTGCTGTTATTCTACTTTTTGTTCAGTTTTTTCTTTGTAAAATATTTTAGATATTTAAAGTTTATAGTTATTGAAACTTTTTACTTTTTTAAGAGATATATAAAGATGGGAACAAAAAATAAACTAAGCTACCGTAATAAACTACAGGGTGTTCTATTTGGAAAAAAATGAAATATCGGTATTTAAAAATTTTAAAGATTTAGATTTTTTATTAACACTCTGTATATTAAAATTTGATTTAATTGATACCACAACAAAGAGCGTACATTTATTTGTCCTTCCACAAAAGATCACCTTATCGAAATTTTTGTGAAGCTGTCCACTGTTATAAAATTTCACGAAAACTGGAATAATGTGGCAACGTCGCATCGGAATTTTAAAAATAAACTGTGGTTATAAAGCCTAAGAAGAAGTCAGTCTGAAGAAGTATGTAGAAATAATAATTATTTACCTAATGTCTTAAAAACAAAACACTCTGTATAATCAAAATTTTAGAGTTTAGTCCTCAAAGAACCGTACAATTTTGGTTTTTGACTTTTTTCTGTCTCTAAATAATAATTAATCAGATACCGAGAATCGTCCGCCAAGTGACTCACCCTGTATACTAATTTTTCGAAGTATTTGATTTAGTAAATTTACAGAACTGGCGCCTAAGAAATTATAAATTGTTTACGGATAAATAAATGTAGCTGGACAGTTTTATTGTCAGACTAATGGAAACAGGAAACGTGTGTTTTTATATTTTAAGTGTAGTGAAACGAAAACAAAAATTAAAGACTCGGCAATTATTAATTTAACAGCCGCATTATTTGTAGATTTTAAATTGATTTAACGTCCTAGACAGAACTTTCTTCGCCCTTCACCGTCACTCAACAAATGTAGCTCCTAAATTAAAAGTTTGACCTTCAGATTTGCAAACTTTCTATTGTAAAATTAAAATTACTACGTTAGTCGTTTATAAAGTACGGTGTTCAAAATTTATGAGTTACGCCATTCGTCCACACTGCTAATATAAAATTTTAAACATCCGAATGTCTAAGGGAAAAGTTTGAAGCGGATTCATAAACCACAAGTATAGAAGTAAGTTATTTTATGCAACTTGAGTAACATTTACCATGCAAAATATTGAGATGACGGCATCAAATTGTTCTTAAAATCAGTAAAATTTTACAACAATCAGTCAGTAGTTTGGGTGATTATATAATTTTTTTATTACGCAACCATCACTAGATTGTTCATCCGTTCATTTTCTTTCCGCATTTTCATAACTATGTTGAAGGTTGCCATCAGTGGCATCTATTGAACATAACTCTGATGATACTAGTTTGTATCGAAACATGTCACCAATTTTTATAAAATCTTAATACTTGCGGGGGCGCTATAGTTTAAATTTCAGAAAAACGAGATTTGTTCTTAAAATGCTCAGAAGTCCAATTTTATTCCTATCTCTATGTTATTTTTTATTTATTTAGGACACTGTTCATGTATTCAACAGATTTTAAGATAAATTATGAGTGCCATATGATTTTTTAAAATAAGTAATTTTTTTCTGGAAAATTATTTGACGAGAAACTAACCAAAGTTTTGTTTCATATTTTTGTATTTATCTATTAAGTACACACTTTTTTTTAACTTTGTATACCCAAAATGTCGACAGAAAATACAATTTTTGTGAGAACATCTTTCTTTTTTTGATAGGTATAGATTTTTCAATTCCATACTTTTTGAGTTATTTATACAATGAAATATTTAATGCAAAGGTGTGTGCTGAGATTCATGGACATAACTCAAAACAAAGCTTAAGGATTTTCTAAAAAGTTAAAATCAAGAATTTTACGATAACCACAACACAGAATTGCCAATAAAACTTGTAAAAAAAGATATATTTGCTAAATTTTGGTTAAAAAAATAAATCGTACTCGACAGTATTCATTTCTTATAATTTTTATTTTATGCTGCCTTATTAATATTGGTATTTGTATTTTGACCTGATTTAGGTCAATATAAAAAATATTATAGGAAGTACTAAACAACACGATAAACGCCTACAAAGTTGTTTACTGTCTTCTCGAAAAAAATTTGGAGCCATTTAGAAAGAAAGGACAGCATTCAGTAAATTTGTAGTACAATGTTTAATGACCCTTAAAAAATCTTTATCAGCTGTATTCACTAATTAGCTATTTAAAACTATTTGACAATTTTACTCAAAAACAATTTAGTTTACATATCTTCTGACAAATGGCTGTTTATAAATAAACAATATTCTAATTTTAAATATTTTTTTCAACACTACTTACTATAATCGCCAGCCGTTAATAGTAATTGAGCGTAGCACTTATCACATTCGATCCAACGTTTGAGACTGATAAGAGGTCATAATTCTCATTACGGAAAAGTTTTAGGAGCCGGGAAGAGTATACACAGAAAACCGATAAAATAAACAAAAAGTATGAAGAGGATTTCGTACCCACCTTGTTAAGAGGTCTTGTGATTAATTAAATTTTAGCAGTCTTTTTAATTAAGCGCGTTTTACGGATTTACCGACGCGGTAAATAAATTCTCGTACCAAGCAAAATACAAGAAAATTTTAATTATAGTTCGCGCTTGAGCGACTTTTAATGTACCCATCCTTATACATTTTTCGTGTTATTTTTGCCGCTAGAAAAACAGAACGTGGGAAAACTTCATTCTAGTGTTGTTTTCTTTATGTCTTTATTTTTATTGCAATTTTCAAAATGACATAATTTTTTAATCGAATGTCACAGACAATTTTCGCTCGCTTAACAATGTTCATTAAACGTTTTTGGAGCAAATGTCAGATTTTTTTCGGGTTTCAGGTTTATTTATTTGGGTGGCCTACGCCAGCAGGAATGCAAAGCAGAATGTCGTAAGACCAGAAATAATAATAATTAAGGTGATTTTTTACCCGAGCTTTTGGAGCTTAGACTGTGAAA